TGGGGTGTTGGGGGGGGGGGTGTTTTGGGGGGTGGGGGGTTGGATGGGTTGGGGTTTCTGTGGGGGGCAGTCAGAGGGAGTGGATGGGGGCAGGGTGGGGCTACCCTCCCTCCCTGTGGAGTGTCCTACTTTTTTAATGTTAAAATATGGTTTCCCTACTCACAGTGCAGCTCTCCATTCAGGGCAACTCATGAGGTCTCAGCTACCTCACTGCCTCCCCCTCTTTCCTGTTGGTAGTGGCCAAGGGAATGCTGGGAAATGTAGTTCTTTCCCTGCTCCAGGGCTGGCTCTATAGGCAGGGAGTTAACCAAGAAACTACAGCTCCCAGGGCCCCCTGTTGGTTCTCAGCTCCCATGCTGGATCCCTGCCACCCCTGCAAATGGGCTGCCCCAAGCACGTGCTTGCTTTGCTGGTGGCTAGAGCCACCCCTGGATGCAAGGCACAGACCTCTGAGATCACTAACTCGAATGCTTCAACATGCAGCGATGCCAGCCCCAAACATTCAAAAATCACAAGCAAACTCCTCCCATTCCAAAAATCAGACGATTTTTAAAAGAACACATTTTACCTTCTTGCCATTGGCTTTCTGATGCTGGCATGTTTAGGGGGTCACATTTTTAAAGTTTTCCTTTACATTCCATGAGAGCTAGACGCTGACTTTTAAGGGCGGGAAACAACCGGATTCCAGCAGCTGAGGCTTTAAGCAAAGCACTGAATATCACAATGCGATGCCTCTGGGAGAGGTGGCAACGCTGGCATGTTCGGCTGAAATCACCGTACCAGTCTCTGAGAGTCACCGTTCCCTGCTTGCTCTGCCGATGCCAAGGCACCGGCCTTTGCCATGGCACTGGCTCAGCATCGCTGCTTAGCTGATGACATGGGGCAGGATCCTGGGAAATGGCTCAGCAGCTGTAGCTTGCTGGGCTGTTTTCAAGGCATGGGCTTCTGTGAACTCCCTAGGTCAACACATACAGCTTGTTGACTTGACGACAAGGCGCAGAGGGTACTAGACTAGATGGATTATTGGACTAATCTGGCATGGAAGTGCTTACATTCCTGTGAGCATCACATGGAGCCACTCTGGTGGGTCAGAAGGTAAAGTACTCTGTGATGTAATAATGTTTTTATAATCTTCAGCAAGCTTCACTGTAACCCAATGCTACATGGCTGAGTGAAGCAATGCTAAATCTTTACTTCCATGAGGGTTTCCTGAGCTGCTTGCTACAATTTATTCAGCCAGATATCTGGCTCAGGTTATCAGAACCCAGCGAGGAATAAGACTGGCTGACAAATCAGTTGCAGTCCTGCCAACATTGCTTGAAAGATGAGAAAATCTGTGTGCTCAGCAGCTACTTCCCAACTGCAAATCCCACAGCTGGTTTGGCTTTGCAAAGTCAGGGGAGAGCTTTGTCCATATGTTTCTTTCTGGGTAAGCCAGATAAAACCAAAAATCCCCAGCAATTAAACTGCATGTATAAGGTGAGGAGCACCCACAATTCCTATTGATTTGAATGAAATGCAGGATTTGCACTGCTTCAACAGGGTTTCTATGTAGAACCAGCGTTACAGATCCCACTGCAGAAGAGGAAGAGTAGAACTATAATGTGAGTTTGAACAGCTGCTCAAACTGCATCAGGTCACTTCCTTGAGGAGAAGCATCCCCATTGCCAAAACCAACCCCCACAATTGGCACTAATTGCTCCCTGTGGTAGCAATTTGAATTGATCAAGGAGACTAAACTCCCTTCTCACTCCTGGAAACTGGACTGAGACCCCCAAACAGCTACCAGAAAAACAGATGCTAAATGCTCCCCCTCACTTCCCAGTGCCTGCCCTGGATTCAGATTGACCTACAGTACAGGTAAAGGCTCTATAGTCCTATTAGTGATCTCTTGCAGCTGGCTGTTGGGTTAAAAATAGTCAGGTATGCTAGTTTGTGTGTGTGTTGACAGAAATAAAAAGCAGCAATAGGCAAAGGGATGCATAAGCACAGAAAAAGACTATACTCAAAGGTTTGGTTCAGATAAAGTAAACTAAGCTTAGCTGCTTATCCAGACTAGGAAGGGGAAAGTCAGCTCCAAAAATGTTACAGGTCACCCCTACCCTAAACAGTCACTCATCACCAGTGGCAGATCAGAAATGTCGTCTTGTCCAAATTTAGTTCAGCTTTGTTACATCCCTACCCCCACAACCCTTCCTTCCAAACTGTTCCTCTACCTCAACCCGTATTTACTTGCTTTAGCAATTCTTCCTGAGGCAGAAACCTAGCAGCCTGCTACCTCCTCCAGCTAACCTCCCCCATTCCCCTAAAGAGTCAGCTGTCTGTCTGACTACTCCCTCCTACATTTTCAGGGGACAGACCCTTAGATGTAGCACAAATGCCCTAGATGGCTCAGTCATCCAGAAAGAGGTAGAAGCTGGGGCCCAGAGACAGGTCAGGCAGTGGCTCCTCCATCTTTCTTACCCTCCTACCACATCTTCTTTACCCTGATTTTTCTCTCATGTTCTTCTTTGCTCAGTACCTGCCAGATCAACTCTCCTTTTTCCCCACAAGGGCTCTCATGACACTCCCATCAGCCTCTCCCCAGCTTTTAGGGCAGCAAATATCACTCTCTTTCTCCCCCTGCCCCCACTCCAAGGATTGGCTCCGTAAGACTCTTCTCCAGCCTGTGGAGGCACCTCCTCCTCTAAATCTCTCATACGTTCAGCAAGCCCCATGCCCATTGTCTCTCCTTCACCTGAGCCAGGCAGAGATGCTGGTTTTCAGGTTCTTAGATACTCATGTTCCCCTTTGGTTTTCTCCTTGTTTCATTGATGAGAAGATGGAAATTTCAACATACAATTTGAAAACATATTTTAACACTAAAACAAAAAACCCCAAACAGCCCAATTTAAATAGCACCACACTTGTGCCCAATGCAGCTTGATTTGCCATACAAAAATTAAAGCCTTGGGAGACCCAGTACATCAGTAACTAGAGATCTGCCCAGCCCTAATTTTTAGTGTATCACCTTCACTCGTTCTTACTGATGGGCCCAGTCCTGTCCTGTGCACTGTTCCCCTTTAGCCCCTTCTGTGTGAAGCAGTGCAAGTGACCTGATGTAGTTTCAGCAGCCGTTCAAACCCACATTATAGTTCTACTCTTCCTCTTCTTCAGTGGGACCTGTAACTCTTGTTCTACATAGAAACCCTGTTGAAGCAGTGCAAATCCAGCATGAAGTGCCCTTAATTTCATTCAAATCAATGGGAATTGTGGGTGCTCCTCACCTTGCAGGGTCTGATGCTACACTGGCTCTCCTGCCCTTCAGAGGCAGCTCCCCTCCTTTTCTCAGCAAAACTGAATTTCCATTTGCCTCTGGCAAGCCAGTGAGGCTAAGTTTCCAGCCTGCTGTATGTGCAAACACACACAAACTGAAGGTTCCTAGATAGGCAGATAGGAATTCCTATCACTTCAGCTGAAGTAGATGAAATCATTTAATGTTGGCAGGTGCTCTTTCTTCTCTATCAACAGTAAATACTAATAGCAAAAGCATGGTGGGGTTGAGGTTTTTAACACATTCAATATCCTTCCAGTTAGAGTGTGGGATTTTTCTTCTTGCTGCCTTTCGTGTCTAAAGTGTTGTCATGCCAGGTAGAGAGAGAGA